ATAAATAGTTTGAAAATATATTTTTGCAGCTTTTAGTTTTTAATATTAATTTACAATATGGTCACCAAACACCTCAAGAGGTAGGAGCCAAATGGCTGGCTCACTGCTGCCAACTAGCCGTTCATTTTTATGTTGTAGTTCAGACTCTGACCACTAGTTGGCAGCAGTGAGCCTGGCTCACTGCTGCCAACTAGTGGTCAGAGTCTGAACTACAACATAAAAATGAACGGCTGGCAGGAAAGTTGACATTTTAAACCTTAATAAAAACATCGATACAGGGCTTTAGAATATCGATACAGTATTGGGAAATGAAATATCGCGATATTTCAATGTATCGATATTTTCTTACACCCCTATTAGGTTTATTTATTTATTTTTTGTACATGCTGTCATAGTATGGTTATAAGAGAGTAAAATGGTTTTAAACCAATAGTAATGTACTTTGTTTATTTATGTTTGAAGTGCCTAACGAAAATAAACAGTTTAAGTTAATTATAAGGATTTTTAAGGATATTTATTAGTACTTGTATCGGTACTTGGTATCGGCAAGTACTTTAATGTAAGTACGTGTACTCGTACTCGGTTTTCAAAAATCTGGTATCGGTGCATCCCTAGTGCAGATAGTACATGCAGTGGCCAAAATCAGGATGTATGAAGAAAAGGTGTGCAGGAACATGCATGTAAGTACATGGTGGATTTAACTAATTTGAATATTCTTCTGCGTACGCACTTTTTGGAATCCTGTCCATACGCCAACCTTCAGTATAAAAGCTGTGCACTCACTCATACATGAGGCCACCCTGGTATCTTTCTTTAAAAACGCTCCCATAAAGTTGCAAACCAAACACGCCAGGATGACTTTACCAAGAGTGTTGATGGGTCTCATCTGCTGTGGAAGTTGTTGCTGGCTCGGGGAGTTCTGAGCACCTGCTGTTTGTCCAGGGGGCTGCTGGGCAGTGGCCTGTCCAGTGGCCTGACTGCTGTAGGGCAGACCAAGAGCTGCATAGGCTCTCTGCATGGAGCTGGGGTCTATAGGTGCTGAGGTACTGATAGTAGGTGCACTGGGCTGGCCCATGCCAATAGAGGACATTGTGTTCTGGAGACCTGCATTTGGAGAGTTCAGCATAGCTGAGGAAAGAGAGCAAACCGTCAGTGGAAAGAAAAACCCTTGTATACAATGAAATAGTTAGGGATGTCCCAATACAATATCAATATTGAATATCAGTCCAATATTAGCCAAAAAAACGAGTATCAGATTTTATCGACCTGCATCTAAAATCACCGATATAAGATCTCAAATACAAGCAGTTCATTCCAGTTGATCCAGAGTAAGAACCTTGAATTATTATTTTACAATTTAAAACTATAGTTTAATTAGATTTTTAGGTAATTTTTCAGGGTCTTCAAATTTTTTTTATTTGATTGTAGAATGTTCTTATGTTTACATAATCCATTGGTTAATAATAATCGGGTCAGTTTTTCTCATATCTACTGTTGTTGACTAGTTTTTACTGTTTGACTTGAGCAGGACTTGATTCTACATTACAAAATAAATAAAAGTAAATAAAAATGTATTGGATTCGTTCTGATATCCTATTGCAGGGGTTCTTAACCTTTTTGACTTCAGAGCCCAATTTATTGAACATAAAGTGACACGAGGCCCAGTCAGACATTACCAATGTATGGATCAGAATGATAATTATTCTAAATCTTGGTTTAATTTGTATTGTATTTACATTATAACTAAATTAAATACACTTATAGTATAAAAGTAAAACTCCTGTCAAATAATCACAAGATGTGATTACGACAAACAATTTTTAATATTGTAACCTGCCCATAACAATTTCAACAAATACGTACAACAGTCAGTCAACAGACCACTCGGGCTTATCAACACAAAAAATATATATATTTNATCTATAAATCTTACTGGTCTCTGGTGTCATTGATTAATGTTTGGCCGGGCTTGTTGTGGTTTCTCTGAGTTCCCAGGTTAAAAAACCGAACACTCACTAAACCTCTAAAAACATATTCTTTTATTTTCCTAATTTTAAACTGATAATACACTCTTTAAATATACAGTAACCTAAACAGTAAATACCTGCTAGATATTGAAAATTATACAAATATTTGTAAAAAAAAAAAAACTTTAGGTAACGTTCACGCACTGATTAGGTAATGATTGGTTCCTCGGTAAGTACTTAGTATGATGTTTCACTTTACTTTAGGGTACACAAAAACAGTAGCTACTGGTCAATTACAGAATAAGTAACGATGAACTACTCAGTAGTTCCTCTTTGGTGTCTTTAGTAACTTCATCAATAGTTAAGCACTTTTTGTGTATCTTGTAAAGTGTTACCAGGTTTATTTTATAAAATCCCTAAGATAAAAGAACATCTCGTCTCTTTGAGTTCAACTGTTAAGCAGAATGTAGCAACCTGGAAGTAAATCTTGACTCAAATCCATCACTAGATAAACACATAAAGAACCTGGTTTCCATTTGCTATGTTCAGCTCTGTAATCTCTAAACTCCGGCCCCTGCTGTCCATTCAGACTTGGAAATGGTAATTCATGCCTTCATTTCTACCCGCTTAGACTATAGTAAAAGCTTGTCCACCTGTCTTAACCAGAAACAATTAACTCGTCTTCAGCTTGTCCAAAACTCGGCAGCGAGACTTCTACTTCGAACCTCCAAATTCACCCACATCTCCCCGATCCTAGCAGAACTTCACTGGCTTCCGGTTCAATTCAGAATCCAGTTCAAAATCCTGGTCCTCACCTTCAGAGCTCTTCATGGCCAAGCCCCAGAAAACATTAAAAGTCTCATTTCCCCTTACAACCCCAGACTAGACCTCGGCTCACAGGATCAACATCTCCTTATGGTTCCCCTCACTCGCTTTAAGACCCGTGGTGACCGTGCCTTCTCCTCTGTGGCCCCCAGGCTCTGGAATGAACTCCCATTTAATCTGTGCTGCCTTGATGACATTGTCTCTTTCAAGACACTCCTAAAAACTCACTTTTTCTCTCAAGCGTTTAGCTAACCATTTCACCATTACTGCCAGCCTACCTCCATTGTGAATGCTTGACAATCTGTGTTTTCTTTATTATTGAACTTACTCCATATTTTCTCTCCATCATTCATTATGTTTTTGTGTATTATTGTATATTTTGACCTGCATTGACCTTGTGTTTGATTTACAATTTTAGAAATTAATTCCTGATTTGATGTTTCAATTTTCATTGCTTATGTGTAATTATGTTTTTCTGTTTTGTTTTATTCTTTCCACCATTTTTGTACTGTTAATGATTGTACAGCACCTTCTGAATATATTTCTGTGAAAGGAGCTTTATAATGAAACTTTACTTACTTATCTCTCTCAAATGTTTCTGCATAGACACATGCATAAACAAGCATGTTCACACATCAGATTAAACTGCCAACAGGTGCATTTGGATCATTCAAAGAGGGTAACATGTCACAGCAGGCACATTTGGAAATTTGAAAAGCAATTTGCAGTTTCTGGTTGGTTCAGAAAGAGTTATACGTCTCTGCAGCGGCAGTTTAAAGTTGAAAAGTGCTGTCAGTGCGTAAAATGTGAGGGGAGGCTGTAGTTCCTATAGCAAACTGTAAACTGCACCTGTAGTGTAGAAAATTTGTTTGTGAAGCATTTAAACAGTTCATTTCCCTTTCTCTTTTTTTGTCACTAAATGACTTGTTTTTCAGGAACAGAAATCCCTGCTTGTGCCAGCTTTCCCTTTGCATGACAGTGTTCCCACAGCACGCCCATCATAGAGACACTTCCCTGAAAGCCAAAGTATCTGCCGTCCATCTTGTTCACACTAACTGTCATAACTCCTGTTTCTCACAAGCTGAACTCTGAACTGACATACTTGCTTTTAAGAATAAGTTGAGATAATGACAAATACATAAAACTAAAATTATTTATTGTATTGGATGATCTTCACCACTGGTTATTAAGCTGTGTGAACTTGCTGAAGTAGTTTAAAAGCCTTGGGCTTAATTGCTTCAATCAAAGCAGTTTTGGAGTGCCACCTCCAGCCAAGAAGCATGAATCACCTGATAAATGCCCAAAGAGCAAAAGAAAAAGAAAGATCCCTGTTGTGCTGCCAGATCGCTGTAAGAGAGCTAACAGGCTGTGTCTGTGTATACTGTATGTTTTAGACCATTTTCCCAGTACCCTCAGCCTGGTGAGGACCCACTTATGGGGACAAAAACCAAGTCCCCATTGGCCGAAATACCGTTGGTGGGTCAGGGGTCAGGGCTAGGCTTTAGAGATGAATGGTAAATGTGTGTACTTGTGTTTGTTACCTTTTTAGGACCGTTTCTGGTATACACACCAACCTTGTCAAGACCAGTAGTCCTTTTAAAGATCAAAGACCGGTTCTAATATGTATGGGGAAACTCCATTTTTTGTTTGGGGGTTAGGTTTAGGACTGAGGTGTGAATTAAGTTTAGCAAGAGGTCAGGCAGCTCATGTAAAAACATACAATGTAGTGTGACCAGTTCAAAGTATGGTTATTATAAATACGTAGGCTTTTTGTTTAAGCACACACTTTAAATCCTTCCACTCAATGAAAACACATTATCTCTGGAGCTGCTGCAGGTGGGGGGCTGTTTGCTTTCCCACAGGTGGTCCAGCACTCAGCCTTTCATTACGAGGAGGTTGAGGCACTTGTTGCCTCTCAAACAGACGATCAGGCAGAGACTCTAAAGATGGTTTCAGTTTGTTCCAACAAAAACAACCAAGAAATAGTTACACAGTTTAAAGCTCTAATTTTATCACTGAGCAGCTCTGAAACAGATATAAAAAGTAACGTTTTTCTATTGGCTGAAGAAAAGAGAAGTTCAGCCCCTTGTGTGTTTTATATATACAGTACATACAGTAAATGAACATTTATAAGCTTGATGAAACAGTCAGTGTGGAAAAAATGATTTGCTCCACAGTTCAACCCATAGTTTCCAGCATGCAGGAACAACTACGTGGTGTGTTCTTTGAAGAAATTGTGTCTTAATAAAACTGCTTTTCCAGCAAAATACTGTTTAAAAGACATATAATCATGAGATGAAGTAAGTCCATCCTCTAAGTCCTAGAGTCTAATGTACCAAGTAAAAATGGTCTGATCTTTATCAGGTTCTAAAATTATTTCAATCTTACCTCAGGTGTACAAAAACACACAACAGATTTTATCATGTATCATTTATTTAATAAAAGTGAAGACAAAATGAAAAGGTTGTGTGAATAACCTATACCTCATGATTCAGCAGATTATAAAATTTCCTTTAGCGGAAACAACCCTCAGTAGTGGTTCAGCTTTGAAACAGAAGAGCATTGCACACAACAAAGAATAAAATTGGACATAGAGCGAGACATAATTTCTCAGAATTATTCAGTTCAGTACAATGCAAAAAAAATTTTGTTAATCCCATAGGGAAATTAAGTGACATATTTTCATATGGTAATGTACGGAAGCGTAGAGCTGCCACATGACATGAAATTATTTTGAAACTGGGTCTCATTATAACAAGAAAACTACCTTGTAAAAACGAGAAAATTATCTTGTAAAAAAGAGAAAACTATCTCGTTATTGAGCGGCCCCTTCTTCGGGTTCATTTGAGGGCCCACTACTCCCCTGACCATGCTGTCCTCTGYTGGGTTGTACCTTGCCGGCCGGCGCGCTGGGGGCTCTCGTCCGGGGCTGGGTGCTTGGGCATGTGCCGGCTCGGCCCGGTGGCTGCCCGGCGGGGCTGGGTTCCCCCTGGCCCTATCGGGCCTTGGCCTGGAGGGGGTGTGGCCTGGGGGCCCGGGCCTCTGTGTCGGTGCCTGGATCCACTCTGGCGCGGTGGGTACCGGCGGGGCCTGTGAGTTCGCCACTGCTGGCCCCGGGGGTTGCTGTATGTAGTCGCTGGTGGGGCTCTTCCGGTTCTCTCCGGTGGTCCTCTTTGGGGGGTGGGTGGGCGCCCCTTCCGGCGCGGGTGTCCCTAGGGGCTGCYTGATTGGGGTCCCTCTCGGGGTCTTTGGCACTGATCTCCCTTATGTCGGCCTCCGGCTTTGCGGGTCGCGTCTGTGGTCCCCCCACACTCACTTTGAAACATTCCACGGGA